AAAAAAAAAAAAAAAACTTTAGTTAAGTTTGCTTTGCAAAGTATCGTTATTATGATTGAAATAGTAATTACAATAAATTATTTTATACAATTCAGTATTTTATTATTAATAAATAATCAATTTTACGACGCCGAATTAACTAAAAGCTGTTATTATAAGGCTGATGTTTGAAACTGTTCCACGTACAAGTGAGTATTTATTAATACAAATACATAAACGTATCTAAATTTGTCGTTTTCAGAATGAATTCTTATATGATTCTAAAGGCGGACTTATAATGCAAACGCACAACCATCCCTTATTCGCGTGTTATCCATGTCTTTATATATATTCCTGTAAATTATTTATTTATTTATTTATTTTTAAATCAAATTACTTAAACGTTTTATTAAATAATTATTATTATTAATATCGCAAAAAAAAAAAAATAATAAATTATAATCATTTTTTTATTTTTACATAAATGCATGTTGTGTATGTAATATTTAATTTCCCATTCATTTTTAATTATTGTTTATTTAATTGTGTGAATTTGTTTATCGTCAAATCAATGCAGAATAGATAATTATTATTATTATTTACATTTAAAATATTTTATTTATATTTATTTGTCTTTTTGAATTATTATAAATAATTATTTTCTACTATTTTAAGTATACAAACATAATCGTACACATTAAATTAATCATTGATTGCTATATTTTTGGTTTGTTTGTTTTTAATTATTTAATTAAATTTCAATGAATAATACATAATTTTTTATATTTTGTAATTATTTTTATTTATTTAAAAAATTTTATATAAACCATGTTCTTTTTCGGTTTTGAATACCGTTCATTAATGGCTATTATTATTATTATTAATTTAAGATTTGGTTATGTTCTCTCTTTATTTATAACTTTTTAAAATTTTTACTTTAAGATAGAAAAGAAAAATGATTTATTTATATTTAAATTATTATTATTATTATTTTAAAAAAAAGAATTTATTTATAGATTTAATGTATAAATTTCGTATTTGACAATATCATTAAATTTTACTGAAATTTAATAATCTTGTAGGACTATCGTTTAAATCTGTGAAGAAAAAAAAAATAGTTATGATTTTTTTTTTTTCTTTTATTCGAAACAAGATTTTCTCTATAAAAAAAAAAACAACATATATATATATATATGTGTGAATGGGATTTATAATAAAAAGTATTAATTTTTTATAAAGTTGTTTTATTTGTTAACATTTTTACGAGTATGATTTACACAATTTACTAGTATTTTTCTATTTTTTTATTAGTTTTTAATGCCGAATTAAATTTTTTAAAATTTCATTTTAATGAATATTAAAAATACAGTTTTAAAATAACAGTCAAACAACTTATACATTCTTTGAAATTTTTGTAAATTAAGATTTTACACTATTGCTTTAAGTTGTAGTAAATTGTTTCTCTTGAATATTTTTATTTTAATATAATGTATAATTATTTCGAATATAATTAAGAATAAATTATAGTGTTAAAATTTTATCTTATTAAGTTAAATTGGAATCGAATTGAAAATGCAAAATTTGTTTTTTTAACATCTAATTTTAATTATTTAATTTTTTTCTTTATTATTGTTAGCTGTCTGGCTGTACGCCGTTATCAGCGTCGTCTTGGTATCATTATGTGGTCTTCTGGGGGCTTTAGTCATTCCTATTATGGGACATGCCAGTTACCAACAACTACTCCAATTTCTCGTTGCTCTCGCTGTAGGAACACTCTGCGGGGATGCTTTACTGCATTTATTGCCTCATGTACGAGACCATTTTTTTTTTTTTTTTTTTTTTTTTTTTTTTTTACAAAATGAATATTAAAGAGAAAATTGAGCTCTGTTTGAAATTTGATAAATTTTAATTGTACATATTCTAAATCAGCAAATTATTTTAAATTATATTTTATAGCTTTTTATTTCACTTGATTTGCATACCATATGGAAAAAAAAAAAAAAAAAAAAAAAATTTAATGAATATTTCTGGCATTTCATAAATGTTTTTTTTCATTATAGGCTATCGTTCCCCACACTGATGAACATTCGGAGGTAGATCATGTTGATCACAATGCTGCTATGTGGAAAGGGTTGGCCATATTATTAGGAATAGTTTTCTTTTTTTTCACTGAAAAGTTTTTAAATTTAGGATCTGAATGGAGGAAAAAACGACAAAGAAGCAAAAAGGTACTTGTATTGCAAATATATATCGTTTGATTCCAATGTCTTCATAATATATTTTAATCGTTTATCAAACACTTTGTGTCTGCTTTCTTCGATTTCTTATTCAAAAACCATATTCTTAATATTTCCCCAAAGGTTTATTGCCTTTTTTTTTTTTGTTTTAGTCCAAATAATTTCAAAAATGCTTCAAAATAAATCTGTAGTTGGTTTTTTTTTGTAACGAACACGTTTTAAAATCCGATTTTGTGTGATATCATGCGGATTAATTAAATGCTTATTACTCATTTTTCTTGTCAGGTTCAAGGACACTCTCATGTTCAAATATTAAATGGAAATAACGATGGTGATTCTATCGGTGAAAAACTTTGCAAGCACAAATATAGTTCTTATCCATATTGTTATTCAGATATAAAAAGCAATAAAGATGGTCACGAGCATCACAGGAGTGATGCAGGGGAGAATGTAAAATCTTCATCGACAATAAAACATGAAGTCTCGTACGTTCTTTTTTTTTTTTTTTTTTTTTAATTGATTTTTATTTAAATTATACATTCTATTGATATAATTTAATATTTTGCAGTGAAAATAAAATAAAAAGCAGTGGATCAAAATGGTCACATGAATTACAAGAGGCTGGAGAGAATCAAAAGTTGACAACGGCTGTTGATGTACACGATCACAGAAGAAGAAGAAGAAGAAGCAGACGACGTTAAGGAAATTGCGACTGATGATAAATTGAACGACAAAAGCAAAAATAAAATAAAAATAAATGAAATAAAATGTGATAAAAAAGACGGAGAATACACCGTGATAATTAGGGAACACGAAACAGCTCACCACGGTCACAGTCACGCCCATGGCCACGTACATTCGCCCCCCGAATCTTTAAGGTACTCATTATCACATTTAAAAAATATATGTTCAATATTCATACAGTAAATTTCAATGCTCGAATGTCTCCATTAAAAAGTTTTCCACTCGCTTTCTTTTTTTTAAAAATTATCATAGTAATGTGAAGCTATTAAATCAAACCATAGAATATTCCAAACGAATTTCAACACTTTAATTTATTTTATTTTATTTTTTTTGTTTACAGTTCTGTTGTTTGGATGGTCATTTTAGGAGATGGTCTTCATAATTTCACAGATGGTATGGCTATCGGTGCTGCTTTTTCAAATAATATTGCCGGAGGTTTTTCAACGGCTGTTGCTGTTTTCTGTCACGAATTACCCCACGAGTTAGGTATGTAAATACCTCATCGGTCAATAATAGTTTTTTTTTTTTTTTTTTATTTAATTTTTATTTAATTTATTAAAAATAATATAATAAATTTCTGCTACCTTTTTAAAAAAAATTTTTTTTTACTTACTCATTAAATGAAAAATAAATGACCGAAAATTTGAATTGTGCCGATACTAATGTTGTTTTATTAATATATATATATATATATATATATTATTAATTATATATATATTAATTAAAATTAAAGTTAATGATGATAAAAAAAAATGGCGGATATAATCGCGTGTGTTTAATAATTTAATTACATAAAAATTTTCATAAAATTATTATTTTTTCATTTATTTATGAGTAAATTAGAAGGAAGCAGACGCAGATATCTTTATGTATTATTATTATTATTATTATTATTATTTAATTCCTTTTGATTTTTGATCATTTATTTGATTTTATAAAATGAAATAAGAAATCTCAGATGAAAAAGTTTTAGTCTTTTTTTTGGTGAATATAAAATTAATTATGCAATCAATGAATCAATCAATCAATCAATCATTCATTTATTGAGGTTTTTTTTTTTTAATTAAATCGGTGTGATATATTTATTATCATTATTACTTATCCTTTTGTGCCACCTTTCAGGCTACTTTTTGATGCCCAGTAGATGATCAGTCACCTGGAAGCTTTAAGGTTCGACCTAATTTTGTGATTCTCTCGTTCAAAATTCTCATGTAACTTATTAAGCACCTATAAAACTCTATTGCACCATATTGAGAGGAATGGATATTGTGTGTGTATTGGAAATAAATGAGGTTTGCATTAACTATTTCTTTGTGGCTGATAGTTTAATTATACCATATATATACCAAAATTTAGTTAATTATTATTATTATTATTTATTTATTTATTTATTATTTTTATTATTTATTATTTTTATTATCAAAAAAAAATTTTTTTTTTTTTGTTGGAATTTACTTGTAATTTTTTTTTAAAGTTGAAAAAAAAAAAAAAAAGCTCATAAAAAAGACTAAAACTTTGAAGCAGATTTTTTTTTATTTATTTATTAAAAAAAAAAAAAAACAGAAAAATTTAAAATTTAAAAACTTACTTTTCCTTTTTGATTTGTTGAAAAATTAATAACATTTTTGTTAAATTTGAATTTTTCTTTTTCCAGGTGATTTTGCCGTTTTAATAAAAGCTGGAATGTCTGCAAAACAAGCTGTTTTTTACAATTTAATTAGCAGCATTTTATGTTTCGTCGGTATGGTTTTAGGAATTTTTATCGGTGATAATCCGACATCAACGTCTTGGGTTTTTGCCGTTTCCGCGGGAACGTTTTTATACATTGGACTAGTTGATATGGTAAGGATAAATCAATCAATCAATCAATCACGTTTATTTACAGAACGGTTGCATTACTAATTGAAAATGGGAAAACAAAAAAAAAAAATAATAATAATAATAAACGATAATTGAATTTAAAGTCGTTTCGATTGGATTTATTGGACAAAAACAAACATGCCAAAAAAAAAATGATAATGGCGTTTAATTTTTTTAATCGATACACATTTTTTTTTTTTTGTTTACATAATTATTATTATTATTACTACTATTAGTACTATT